GCCGTGCCACAGCCTGCTCCCCTCTACCTGGAGAAGATCCTCTACCACCTGCTGAGGAACACGGCTGGCCGGGGGAACGGCCATGCCTGCTGGAGGGTGGCCGATCTCCTCCGTGCCCGGCTTCTGACCTACCGCCCCAGCCAGGTGCCCTCCAAGGACTTCACGGCCGTCGCCTACAGCAGCTTCAGCGTGCTCTGGAGAGGAGCGGACGCCCTGGCCGAGCCTGACCAGCCCCAGGAGGAGGGTAGAGCCATCCTCTCAGTCCGTCTGCGAGCCCTGCGCTTCCTCCTGCTGCTGGAGGAGGACGGGACGGCTTTGCTGCCGCTGCAGCCCCCCTTCTTCACCTCCCAGACGGCACAGCAGGCAGCTGCCGCTGCCGCCTTGTATGAAGCCCAGTGGACGCAGCCCTCAACTTTCCTCAGCCAACAGCTTGGGGACTGTTTGCTTGCAGCTCTGCGAAAGGAGGCGACGGAGCCGCCCACCCTCCAGCAATCCCTCTGCTTCTTCGAGCTCACCCAGGAGCAGTGCCGGCATCTCTGCAAGAGTGGCCAGCACAGGAAAGCTGAGGCGGCGATAAAGGACGCGAGGGGCTTCCTGGGGGTCACGGCCAGCTCTGCAAAATCTTTTAGTGACCCCTTGTCTCTCCTGGAGGCCGGGGTTCAGCTGAGCCGGGTGCTGGCCGAGAGCAGTGGCTCGGCAGGGCCACCCTTATCCCAGGCTGCCGCAGTGGCGGAAGCCTCGGAGCCGTTTCTCAGGGTGCTGGCTGAGACCTGCCAGTTCATCGTCTCCTTCCTTGGCGAGTATGCGAAGAGGAGCAAGCAGCAGTCCTTCGGCCGGGAGGACGCGCTCAGCCTTTGTGCCTTCACCAAGGGGCACTGCCGCGTCCTTCGCCGGCTGCTGGAGAGGGTAAGGCTGGGGCTGGGAGTGGGGCAATCACATAACATGGTTGATCAGAGCCCCTGTTTGTAACCCTGCTTCAGGCTCGATGCTCCCCTTAATCGCTCAGCGGAGTGTTCCTCTCTGGTGTCCCTATCCTGAGCAGGAGTGCCCGGTGCTGCCCAGGCCCCACAAATGCCACTTTTCTCCTTTGCAGATTCCTCCTGACGGTGTCAAACAGAAGCTCATGGTGAAGCAGCTGCTTTACCGCAACTTCCAGCTCTTTGCCAGTGTGACCTATGAGGCCTTCCAGTGCTCCCAGGTACTGATGGAGGGGATGGTCCCCAGCACTGAGGGTGTGGTGAGACCCTGGGTGGCTTCTGCCTTTGGAGGTGGCATGTTGGTGGAGTTAGAAGGGGCTGCTCAAGCTGCCCCTGGGCTATTAGTCCCCGGTGGCCTCTTGCAAGCCACCGTCTCCCTCTCCTCGCAGCCATTGCCGGGCTGGCCAGGTCTGAAGCGGCTGACGATGGGCTGTGAGAGGAGCGTGGCGTGGATGCTGGAGGCGTTGGAGGGGCTCCCTGAGAGCGAGCGAGCCAAGTACCTCGACATCACCGGTCAGTGCCGCAGCGGCACTGGGGTGGCACCGAACCTGGCTCCTCGGCTCTGTTTGCTGTCACCAGGGCTGAGGGGTGACAGTCCCTGGCTGGCTGAGGGAGAAGAGGGGTCGTTCTCTCTCCATCATGTCTTTAATATTTGGGTTTCGCTTGCTGCAGTGTCATGCACATTCAAGCTGGCTTACATCTTCTACAACCAGAACCTTCACGAGGAGGCCAGCTCCGTCTGCAAGCTCCTCTGCAAGAGGCTGCAGACAGCAGATGCCTACGCGTGTCCAGAGATTCCCCCGGAGAGGGTAAGTGCTTGTCTGGGGCTTCTGGCAGAAACAGGGCTGAACCAAACAGTCTGATCCTGGTGCCAGGTGAGAAAAGGAGAGGATAGGACCAGCTTTTTCTCCTGGAACAACCCCAGTTCCCTGCTCTGAGGTCTTCCCCTTGCCCTGGCCAGGAATGGGGTTGTGGTATGGGACATGGGAAGCAGGCAGTTTGCTCCCATGGGGCGTTGAAGCCGGTTCTCTGTGCTCTCCCCACAGCTGCACAAATGCTTCAGGCTGCAGGTAGAAAGCTACCGCAAGCTGGGGCAGCTGGAGAGAGCCCTGGCGTGCGTGGTGCAGTGGTTGGCAGCGCTGCGGGGCCGTATCGGGGAGCTGCTGGCAGAGCCAGTCTCCCTCTGGGTCAGAGTCAAAACGGATGCTGCAAAACAGGGGGCTGAGGAGTTACGGTTACGGTAAGACCTGGCAGGCTGCCCGGTGTGGGGGGGGTGGATATCTTGGGAGCTGCGGTTCCCAAGATGGTAAAATGATGATTTCTCCCTGCGAGATGTGCCTGGCTCCGCTGTGCTCTGTGCAGAGCCCCCCTGCAGCTCTTCTTTCCCCCAGAACCCTGAAGGATGGCTTGGAGGGGCACAGCCTGGACACAGAGACCTTCATCACTGTCCTCTTTGCGGAGTTGAAGGCCTACAAGACTGTCCGAGCTGACACGGGGCAGGAACGTTACAACGTCCTCTGCGATCTGCTGGAAATCTGCTCGGAGGAGAGCGGCCGCCTGCACGAGCGAGCCATCTGCTTGACGGAGCTGGCCCAGGTCTTGTGCTACCACAGCTATGCCCAGCAGACAGACTGGTGAGTGTACACCGGCGTGCCGGGATCGCTCCCTGTGTCCTTGAAACTCCCCGAGGAGCATTTGAGGGCCCTCAGGGGGAGTTTTAAGGATCTGGAGTGTTATTGCTCTGGCAGTTTGCTCTGGTTGGGGTCCTTCGGTGTATCTGTCCCTCCCTTTAAAACACTCCAGGGGTTTTGGGGGGCGGAAGGCTGTTTCTAATCCCGTTCTCCGGCAGCTCCTCCCTGGACTCGGTCTGCGAAGCCTTACGGCTGTTGGAGTTGGTACCCAGGAGCGCCCAGAACCGGGACCAGCTCCTCGACAGCCAGGCGCAGGCTTTGCTCTGGCTCTACATCTGCACCCTGGAGTCCAAGCTGGAGAAGGTGGGTGGGGTGGCAGAGGGGGGAAGCTGTGGGATGCTGAAACAGGTCCCTGTCTGGAAATGCCGTGAGGCTCCGTGCCCTCCTCAGCCTTGCTGGCAACACTCTGCACTGGGACCACCAAAAGCCACCCAGACCCCGCTGGAAAACCCCGTGGTGTCTCTTAATGTGTGTCGACGCTGCCTTTCCCCCTCCCCTGCTGCAGAGCATAGAGAGAGACCAGAGAACCAAAGCTCAGGGGCTGAAGAACCTGGATGACTTTGAGCCCAATGACCTCAACTACGAAGGCAGGCTGCTGGAGGACCGGTTCCTGTTTGACGGCATCTCCTTCAACCTGGCAACAGACACTGGTGAGGACGCTGGCGGGTTTGGACCCTTGGTGAAGCTCTGTGGCAGCGCCTGGTTTCAGGATCAGGGTGTCTCAGACCTGTGGTGTGCCCTCAGCTCTGTCCAAAAACCTCGACGACGCCTTTGCCTTGTGGAAGCAGCTCCTGGCGACGCCAGGCGTCCCGGCCGTGCGCAGCCTCGAGCAGACTGTAGCCTCCCTTCACCTCCTGGCAGTTCTCTACAAGCTGATGGCCAAGGTAACGTGGCTGGCGGGACGGCAGCCTCCCCAGGCACGCAGAATCCCTCTGAGGTGGTCTCTGAGTGTAACCGGGGGGGTTTTCCTGCCCCCAGCCCCTGCAAGCCATGGAGAGCTACCTCCTGGTCAGAGCCCTGTGCGGCACGCTCGGGGACAGCCTGGGCATGGCCGGCGCCCTGTGCCAGGTCACCAAGCTGCTCTTCCAGCTGGAGTGTCCCAGCTACGCCCAGGTGAGTCTGGCAGGGAGGGAAGGGGCCGTGGGATGATCTCGGCCGATCCCCGAGGCCTCAGCTTCTCATGCTGGTGTGTTGGTTTCCAGCTTTTCCTGGAGGAGACAGAGTCCTGCCTGCAGAAAGCCGACAGCAGCGATGATTCCTACCTGCTGCTGCAGCAAACCTGCCTCCTGCTCCGCAGCCAGATGTGCTGCATCAACCACCGGGTAAGGCTCCTAAAAAAAAACCCCTTCTCTGCTTCAAAAGTGGTGTCAGAGGGCAAGAGGAGACTGCAGCGGCTCTGCCTGGTTATCTCAGTGCCTCTCACTAGGGACCTTGGGCGTGGAGACACCCTGGATGACAAATGGTGACTCTTTTTTTCTCCTTCTGCAGATTGAAGAGGGTCTCGCTCTGTTGCTGGAGGTGCTCCAAAACCCGGCTCTGCAAAAAATCACAAAGGTTTGGTACCTGCTGCGAGCCCACGTCCTTCAGCTGGTGGCCTTCTACCTGAGCCTCCCCCCTGCCCGCCTCTCACTGGAGCTCCGGCAGCGGATCTTTGTGCAAGGTGAGTGTCTGGGGGGATGTTTAAAACCCTCCCGGTGAGCACTGGGCTGACAGGTCATGGACAAAGCTCTCCAAAAAGACATTTTGGACATGGTCATGTCCAAATGTTTCACCTCTGGGTTTCTCCAAACCAGCCTCATTTGGGGCGAGGAGAAGGAATCTGGGGGAGTTGCTCTGTACTGGGACTGGAGAGGGTGTTGGTTGGTGCTGATACCCACGACTGCCCTCACACAGGGTGGAAAACGCCTGAGACGGCTCTCGCTGAAGCCCAGAAGCTTTTCCGCAGCATCATCCTCCTCCTGATGGGCAGCGACATGCTGGGCTGTCAGACAACGGCATCCGATGTCCAATTTGTAGATTACGGTGAGCCGGTTGTTTGTGTGAACCAAAACCCAACTGCTCCGGAAAGAGTCGGGTTTCCTCGCCTGCCTCTCCAGGAGGAACAGCTCCGGTCACCTTCCTGTCCTCCCTCACAGGGGACAACCTGCTGCTGAAGTGGCAAGTGCTGGCCGACATGTTGGCGTGCTCGGAGCAGCTCGTAGCTCTCCTCAGCAGGTTGGAGGTGGTTTGTAAAGCCAAAGCCTTCTGCTTGGAGGCCGTCAAGCTGGCCGTGAAACTACAAGCCATCCGGTGGTAAGTTGACGGTGGAGGAAGGGGGAACGCAGCCTGGTTAGGGGGTGAGCTGCCCTGCAGCCACAGAGGACTTTGGTGTCCCTTGGTGGGGACTGGCCACCGGTGAGAGGGTTTGGTCTGGAGCAAGCAGCTGCTCTGGGGTGTTTTGTCCCAGGAATTCAGCTTGCCAGGTCAGATGTGAGCTTTGTTCCTCGCTGCCTGCCTGCCTCCCTCCCTCCCGCGTGGCCCTGGGGATGGAGCGATGGCTGTTATGGGGAGGCTCTGAGGGCTGTTTCTCCCCCCGCAAGGTGTACCTCCTTCCTGGTGCTTAAGGCACAGCTGGAGCTGCAGCAGAACGAACTGGAGCTGAGCCACTTCGACCTGCAGAAGGCTCTCTTCCTCCTGGAGTCTGACACTGGTGAGTCTCCTCCCCGGGCTCGGTGGAGGACAGCGGAGCGGGTGAGGTGAACGCCAAGCCCAGGCAGTGCCAGGGATGACCCCTCTTGTGCCTGCTTTTGAAATAACCCTTCCCTCCACCTGCAGAGTTTAAAGCCAGGAAGCAGCAGAAAGGGCAGACGAAGATCCTGCCCAAGAAGGGCAAACTTGAGGGCAAGAAGCCACGGGAACCCATCTCTGAGCCCCCCAGGGAAGAGGAGGATTTCCTGAAGGGACCCGCGCTGGAGTTTGTGGCCACGGTGAGCGGGCCGGAGAAGGCGGATGCTCTCACAGCCTCACCGGAGCTGAAGCCCAAGAGGAGGAAGAGACTGGCCTTCGTCACCCACCCGGCAGCCTGCCCGTGCTGTCTAGCTCTCTGCTCTCTGCCTGCGCTGGCTCCTCTCCTGCGCCCAGGGCGAGCTGGCAGCAGGCAGCACGGCCGAGGGGCTGGGTCTGATCCACACCACGCTGCCACGCTGCGCTGTCGTGGCCACCCGCTTTGCCGCCGTGCTGCGAGACAAGCTGTGGGGCGGCTCCGTCGACCGGGATGCAGCAGGCAGCACGGCCGAGGGGCTGGGTCTGATCCACACCACGCTGCCACGCTGCGCTGTCGTGGCCACCCGCTTTGCCGCCGTGCTGCGAGACAAGCTGTGGGGCGGCTCCGTCGACCGGGATCTGCCTGTGCTGGAGCTGCTGGATGATCTGGTGGCCACCAGCTACACCACATTGGCCCTTGAGAGCCTGGCCAGCCCCCGGCTAGCAG